TGTCAAAGGACTTTATTGCCGGTTGTTCATAGACGGATCCCTTGAGGAAACCCAGAATATTTCTAGAACTTTTCTCGCACAAATTTCCGTATAATAGTTGAGTGCCAAGTGCACGGACTCTTTGCATGATTCACTTGATCGGTTATCGTGGGAAACTGCTTTAACAAGGGAGGTCGTTCAGGGCGTGCCCCGCTTTTTCGAAACGGTTTATTGCACTTTGTAGGGCCTTGCCCATGAACCATAAAAGTGGGCTTCGTTTTGGCTGAGCGGCCCCAGGAACGCCAAAAAAGGAGCGAAAGGTACGTCTATGTACCCCCATATGAGGGACGTTAAGCGCTATACTGGCGCCAAATTGCGTCGACGTCGAAAATAAGTGTCAAAATCGTAATCAGGACCATCGACTACCCTTATGGACGAACTTCTAGCCAAAAAAGTTTTTCGATTTTTTGGGTTTTGGTGGACCATTTGGTCGGCAGTGGTGACCGGAGTGTCCCATCTTCGTAAAGACGATGATGAAACGACGACGACGTAGCAGACCGTCGGGCAGGACAGCAAACCGAATGCCTCCCTTTTCTTCCTCTTTGCATGAATTTCATCGGCATTGTTACTTTTATCTTTGGATATTAATAAAATAGGGGTCCCTATGGCGAGGCACTGTAGACTTCTATGGAAAGACTGTCGGGCACAACCCAACGCACACACCCAAAAAAGTCGAAAAAAATTTTTTTGGCTGAAAGATTGTTTACAGGGGTAATCGATGGCCCCGATCATGATTTTCACACTTATTTTCGGCGCGACGTAATTTGGCGCCTGGGTAGCGCTACACATCCCTTACTTGTGTGTAGCAAACGCATTCATTGGGAGAAACATGTCACTCCATATTAGCGATAAATGGCACCGTAGCTACAAATAAGTTCCATATTCGTGATTCGGGCATGGTCTGACCTATAAAGGTCAACTTTCAATTACGGTCTTGCTTAATGGTATGTAAAACCTGTAATAATTGAATAGCACTGATTCATGGAGTGTTCCCATTTAAAATGTGCCCATAAATGGCAGTTATCGAACGCATACTCACGCACAGACATATTTGAACGCGAAAACAGCAAAACATAAAAAATGCAAAAACTCGCACGCCGAGGGGAGTCGAACCATCAACCCCACCCCAACTGTCCGCTTGAGATTCCTTCACGCTATCCACTAGGCCATCCGATCGTTGTGTGTCGTAACATTCCTCCGATCGTTGAAGAAACCATTCCATGAAGCCGTTCACGCTTGATTACGTGCCACAAGTAAGACCCCATACCCCGACTACTTTTCTCTTCGATTCCGATAGTACCTTTATAGGGTCCCTCCATTCAGCAACTGGTCAAAGTTTCAAGCGGTTTACAGCTCGTAGAGGCTCAAAAACAATCAGTTTCCATAGGTTTCTTTTTCGCTCCTTTTTTGGCATTCCAGGGGCCGCACAGCCAAAACGAAGCCCACTTTTATGGTTCATGGGCAAGGCCCTACAAAGTGCAATAAACCGTTTCGAAAAAGCGGGGCACGCCCTGAACGACCTTCCTGGTAAATGCCAAGGCCTTCCCTACATGTCTGTGAGGGAACCTGTGTGCATACCTGCGTTTGCACGTTCAGGTGAATGTGTTGACGAGCTAACAACCAGTATCTTTGAAGAGGAGGCGGAAGAGGTTTTGGTGCTGCGACGGCTCTGTGCGCTATTTAATTTTAGCATAGGGAGATAACGATGATGATGATTTTTGGTGCAAAGAGAGGAGTTTCGAAACACTCCATCAAGATGCCTCATCTTACCGTTATAACACCAACCGATTTGTGAGACCTACCTGAGGGCAGCTGTCGATGCAGACGTCTATTGTACAACGAATGCGAACTCGTCGTGATCCATCGAAGCGAAAAACCTTAACTCAAACATTATTAGAGCACTTCACTTTGACAGTCACAATTTTTCACAATTTTTTTGTCTCAAACCATGGCAGTCTTCATATGCAACCTCGGAACAAAATACCCCCAATGCCGATTTTCTATTCTCTCATTTCGACCGCAAATAGCTACGGAAAGCTTTACCTTCAGTTTTGTAGAGAATCCATCAGTTTCGCGCACGACAGGTGATTTGATGAGACGATTGTTGATTTTCTCATCTGGACACCTTAAGACAAAGATCATCAACGATATTTCGCGGGTTACGCTTCCTTTTATAAGGTTACCCTCGCTGAATGATGTTAAGTGGATCGGGCTGTGGAGGAGGGCCTCCGACTCGTTCGGCAACACAGTTATCGACGAAGTATCCAAGACCAGGTGTTTGATCCAATACTAAAACTCAACATAATTTCCTAAAAAACTTCATAAAAAGGTGAACGGGAAGGATGACCTTCTACGTTCACTGTACACTTGAAGGCGCACCATTGAACCTGTGAGGTGCCGGGAATTGCGGGAAAGCCGCGAATAAAATCCAAAGATTTCGTAGAAATTTGGAAATTATCTTATGTTCGAAGGATGAGGCACAATAAAGTGACTATATTCCGGAAGTTAACAGCTTGAGCGAGCGATGTGTGAAATCGCTTCTTCTCTACAGTGGCCTAACAGGAGCCTTCACCTTATTTACCTGGGCGGAGGATTACCTCCCCTCAGAACGACCACCTCGCAGTTTCAGTATGATGATTCACTTATTGCTACATATGAAAGAGAGAAGATAAAGTCTCCGCCGTTAATAAATCCCTTCGTGGGATGCGGCACGCATTCTACTTCCATTCAGAATCGTAGTGGCTTATTGAATGCGATGTGGCCTATACAATGACTTGCGGTGGCCAGCCGATGTACAAGTCAATATTTTATTTTTCCAGACGAATCTGGCACCAATTTACCGTTCCAGGAGGGTGAAAGGAGTCAGTTGGTAGCCGATAGGATTCGATCCTCAAACTGAGCGTGGTAAGCGTGCCACTTACCACTACACCACCTCCGCCTTATTTCTACACATTCAGAGTACAAATGGCATGAAGCGGCTGCAGCACGCGGCCCTTAATATTAGCAAGTTCTGCACAGTTCTACGCGTATTGGGACGGTTAGTTCAAATATGCTCTTCAGACTAGTGGTTAACTGAGCGGAATTATGAAAGGTTTTCCCGATGTTAAAAACAAATTGTACACTCACCTCGCTGACCTGGTCAATGCCGCGTGTGGGGAGAATGAGTTTGCAGCTGCAATAGCGTGCTACTTTCCTCAGCCAAAAGTGCACGGGAACGGTGCTGGAGCTTAATTGCACCCGAGTGCTGTCCCCATGCTATGCCGCCTATCCAGCCACACCCCCAACCATGGCCAATCGCGCTAACTCTTGCAGCCTCTCACTTCTGATTGTTCTCTAGTACTAAGTGCGTGTTTCGCTACAGGACCTCGGTATCGAGGCGAGTGCTGCACATTGAGGATGGCGCGGGCGCAGTTTGGAGAGTTACTAGGGTATTCTTTTTCCTCCAGCCCCGCTTCCATGCATTTTAAGAGGAGAAAATCTTACGCTACTGCAGCTGCGGACCCATTCACCTAGCACGTGGAACGGACCATCTTCAGAGATGAGGGCACAGTTCGTCTTTGAATGGGTACTTGTATACTCGGAATCCCTGAGATCGGGTAGGCATGGCCGCAAGTTTAACTTTAAGGTGTTTATGCTTCTGGTGAGATATTTTCATCTTGACACAATTGTTGTCGTGTCTCTGTCCAACACAGAACAAGATGACAGTTGTCCCAGACTGGAATATTCCACGAGTAACCAATTCCGTGCCATGTTCAAATGCCACGCCTACTCTGGCTCAGGGATAAGAAGTGGGTACATCATCGTCGTCATAATGCAGGTGGTGGGAAGGGCTGCGCGAACCTTTGCTGGTGAGAACTTCACTTACTGTTGACCTTCCTATTTCAAGTGCTATATGTCCTCTTCACCGCTTGACCAATGCTTGGAAAGGGGGGTCGTACTAGAGGGAAAGTCTCCATTTTAGGTGTTGTGCCACTTGCATGGATCTCGAAATCAGAATGTGGAAGGTAGCTAGCTACTAGAGCTCAGCATGGATCTCGAAATCTGGATGTGGAAGGTAGATTACTACTAGAGCTCACTTCTCCATCGCAGCTCAACCTCATCGCCGAGTGGCACAGTGGTCACAGGTTGGCCATCCCGAAGTATTTGCAGATCGATTCTTGAAGACTTCGTCTCATTTGCTTCGCCGAAAACGTACGATGAGGAACTGGAAAGCCGTATATTCTTGAGAATTTTGCTCAGAAATGTGATAGAAATGTAATTCCTTCTGAAACTTATCAATGCATATCCACTTTCAGAGGGGCACATTGAGGTAAGTTAGGAACTGTAATTACATAGAGGGAATGCTACCTCGCGCTTCGTTCAAGTAGCTCGGCATAGTTGCATGTAACGTTGAATACACGATCCACAGACGTGACCAACGAGGGGGCATTGATCTCATTCCTTTGTACGACGACCGAAAACGACCACATAGACGGGGCCTGAAAGAAAAACCAAATTTAGTATTGTATAGAGATGCAAATTTTAACACGTTTTTACTACACCGTGAACCCCTTGTGCCTTAAAACTACAAACATCAACAGCTGATGGGACTACTCACTGAATTCTTTTTTACCGGTGTTTACTTATCCTCAATCTATAACTCCATTGCAAAACGCATAAATGAGGGTTTTTAAGGTTCTGGGCTATTCCACATAGGCAGCACATCTCACTTTTTTTGAAGAGGTACAGCAACGTTAACTGTGAAATGTGTGTGAGCTGTAAGGTATGAAAGAGAGCAGGTACCACTTCTACGTTCCACGGTCTGTCTACATATGTTACATATGATACACATGTGCCACCTTCAATTTTTTTTATATCGCACAAGAAGTTTGTACGCAGCAATCACTCAACTTTTACGCATGGTTTCATTGATAATCCCTACTACTCAAAAGCCTTACTGAACGATGTAAGAAACACAAGAAACACAGGTGAATGCAAAACGGGTCACCTTCTCTCTCACTATCCACAATGGAATAAACTCACAATTTCTATGCCCGGACATTTCGGATCAGGCTCGTCACTTTTCGGGAACGGGATGTGTAGCTCAACTTCAGTGGCGGTTCTGTGAATCTTCTGTGACGCAATGTGGCGAAATCTTCCGCTAAACGAATGTTACTTTCAAGATGCTCTCGCATCTGCCTTGGAAACTGTGCGAGCTTACGCTTGACATAATAGACCCGATAGATTTCCTTTGCAAGCTCTTACTTCACAAGTCACACCGGACATGAGACAATCAGTTGTGAGTCCTCAAATAAAAATAGCTATAATTACATTTCCACGCGTTTTAGTTCTTTTTCTTCTGAATTTTATCATAGGAGAGAATCGTGAAGTGTGGTTTTTATTAGCAATGTTCAAGACGGGACGGGGGCAGAGCTCGCATACCACCAACCTTCCCCATTAAACATACTTTTTCAATTAAGTAGCAAGATAACAAGGCCGTGCGAGAACCCTTCTTTTCCAGCTTGAAAGGTCAGAAAAAGGATTTTCGGTACGTTTCAGGTGTAAAAGAAACGCATGATCGATCTGATTTTCTCATAAGATCCTTGCCGAAAATGCTTCTCAAATAAGCAGCCAAGAATATTCGTAGCATTTGGGAAACTGCAATCCTAGAACCTCCCAAATATGGTCCCCTTTCTACGGTATAAGCACTGCTGCTTTGGCGGAATCGCAGCGTACTCCAGTCATTTGCGAAAGTGATGAGCATCAGGCTTAATAGTAGTTCGCTCAAGGCGTTGAGCAAGTGCTGCGATCTTCATCGAGGCCCACATTGCCCGAAGGCTCTTGCTGTTTTCGAGACCTGTACAAATATTGGGGTGAAAGCTGATTTTCGTCAGTCATAGGGTCGATGCAAATTCATTATGGACCAGCCCCACGACTGCTGCCATCCGAGTAGAGAAGCGCTTGCTTCTCCCTTTTGCTTCTTTCATGACAACGTGAACGCTCGCTTCTTCTTTGGAAGGCTCAGTAGAGGAACTTTTTCTCGCTACCATATTTTGCTGATCACGCACTTTTCCATTGCTGCTTTACCTTTTGAATAGCACAACTAGAGGCAGACGAAACGAAATCTGACGAAAACTGCAACGCTGTCAATGCCTTCGAATCCGCTACTGTATTTCACTTTGGCTATCACACTTAAGGTTAGTCCTTGAATTTTTGGTCGCCCGAAACCCACCAGAACAG